TCAGAAGGCAATTCCGAATGGATAGTACGAAAAGTCCTAGACTCGAGACTGCACAGATCAAAACTCCAATACCTAGTAGAGTGGGAAGGATATCCGATAGAAGAAGCGACATGGGAACCTGAGGAAAACCTTGAGAATGCACGGTTGAAAGTTCAAGAATTTCACCGGCAAAATCCGAAGGCATTAAATCCCCGCAAAATTAACAAATCGGTGTTCGAAACCCAAGAGTTTTTGGAATGGCGCAAGAAGTTTATTCGTCCTAGTTTCATTCGCGATGACGCTCATCCTAGAGAGGGGGTAATGTCACGAGTTCCAAATACAAACCATTATTCGTTCCTTAATTCTAAGTCCTTTAAGCGCCCAGTCACAGCGCCTGCTCCTAAGAATATGTTTACTGTTGAAGAAGTTCCTATTATTGCGTCTATTGAAGAATTACCAGAGTCACGTGATCGATCGGACAATGCCGAAGATGTTGACATCATGCCTCGCGACACTCTTGGAATGTTCCAGAGTCTTACTGCGGCTGCGGCACATGTTATGACATCATAGTTATATATAGAATCGTACGATACCTTTAATTATTCTGATTGGTTAGTTAGTTCATACTCAGTTTCGATCTCAGTTTCAATATATGTATATAGGTAGCTTGTCGTAGTCAGTAGTTCTTTAGTTCAAACCTCTTGTATCTCCAAGTGAGCAATCCAAGACGTACCTGCTGCCTTATCCTCTTTGTGATTATCTTGTTGTTTGAGTCCTAGTCTCTGCCCTGCGTTAATTCGTTTAAGGGGTTGTGACAGACATGTTCTCTATTATCCCCCATATGACTGCTACTTTCCCGTGAAACAGACTCGGCTTTTACAACTCTGGGATGACCTTCAACTACCGCATGAACGACCCAAACAAGTATTTGGCGCACCGTTGACAGTGATCGGATTTGAAGTCGACCCAAATGCTATGCAAGTTACTTTACCCGTTCATAAGAAGGCTGAGTTGGTTACAGAGCTACGTCGTTTCGCACGAAAGAATCACCATTGGTCGCTTCGCGAATTCCAGCGTCTGGCTGGCTGGTGTGAATGGAGCTTCAATGTCTTCCCTTTATTGAAGCCCGGTTTGTCGGTGCTCTACGACAAAATTCGAGGAAAGACTAACGCCCTCGCTCAAATTCACGTCAACAATGCACTGCTACACGAGTTACATTGGCTCGCGGACCACGTTGAACGTTTGGATGGCCTACACCTATTCCGGTGTTTAGACTTCGACGTGTCAAGAGATGACGTTGTAGTTGTCTACACTGACGCGTCAGCCGCAGGATTAGGACTCTGGTTTCCAGACGAAAACTTCGCATGCCAATCACCCTTACCTGGAGATGCTCCTCACGACACCATTTTCTTCCTCGAGGCTTTGGCCGTTTGTTCCGCTATTCACACGGTCACAAATATGGACGACACTCCCGCAAAATTACTCATTTACATCGACAACACCAACACTGTGTCAATGTTCGACTCACTTCGAGCAAGACCTATCTATAACTCACTGTTACTTTCGGCTGTGGATATCTTAATCACCTATAACGTTGACCTTCGAGTGGAACATATTCCGGGGCAACAGAACGTCATCGCTGACGCGTTGTCACGGTTTCACAATGAACTCGTGAAAGATCTGGTGCCATCAGCACAGATATTCGACTTCGAACCCCCTCGGGATGCGCTGGGGGTGAAAGAAAAATGATCCCAAGTACCACTCGGTCCAAGCAACCCATACGGGAAGCTTGGACTCTCGAACGCCTACAATTAGAGCGTTCCTTGGCCCTTGGTTGCGCTATCGAGACCACTACAGCTTCAGCTTATGACTCACACCTAAACTCATATCTGAACTTTTGTCGACTTCATAACAGGGACGTTGAACCTACCGCGGACACTCTGTCCTTCTTCGTGGTGTGGTTATCACATCATATTGAGCCATGATCCGTGGACTCGTATCTTTCGGGTATCGTGAATCGACTTCAAACACACTTTCCGCAAGTTCGTGACGTGCGCACGTCCTTGCTCGTTACTCGCACTCTTAAAGGTTGTAAACGTCGCTTATCTAAGCCTGTTCGACGTAAAGAACCACTGACTCTGGATGATCTTGCTGTTGTGGTGGACATGTTCGCTTCGTCGACGGACTTCAACGACATCTTATTCGTCGCCTTGCTGGTGACAGGTTTCAAAACCTTGCAGCGGTTAGCAGAGCTCTGCTGGCCGAATGCAAAGAAACATCAATCCTTTCGTAAAATGGCGCTGCGACACTCTCTCGTATCGTCCCCAACCTCAGCAAGGTACACTCTACCTCACCACAAAACAAATACTTTGGGAGTAGGATGCGAGATTTTAGTGTTAGCTGAGGCGGAGTCTAGAGTGAACCCTCTAGATGTTTTACAACGGTATGTCCATGCTCGTGACACTCGCTTTCAACACCATCCCCACCTCTGGTTGACTGCGAACGGCACCATTCCTACACGCACATGGTTCATGCGATATCTTCGGCGTTTCTTCCCGCCAACTATTGCTGGACATTCGATGCGAGCCGGGGGAGCAACTGCCCTGGCTGCGACTGGTGTCGCGCCTGCGCTGATTCAGGCAGCAGGATGCTGGTCTTCGGACGAGTTCCAAAAATACATTCGAAAGCACCCTTATCTGCTTCATCTGCTTATACACGGTTCTCAAAATCCGTAACTCACTAGGTTTGACAGCTCATAGTTGCTATTTGTCCAACTTCAAATGTCTGTTTCATTTCCTCGTTTCGCGGCTTCTTATTCTCGTTTTGCGGCTTCTTATTCTCGTTTTGTGGCTTCTTATTCTCATTTTGCGGCTTCTTATTCTTGTTTCGCGGATCTATCTTTCGGTTTCGGATATCAAGTCTCTCAGTGTGGTCGTTTTGCGGCTCTATCGGGTTGTGATCAGTGCGTTGGCACTATTATTTAAAAAAAAAAAAAAAAAAAAAAAAAGAAAAATAGCCCTTTAGCCGTTTGGTCCAAAACTCGACTCTTTTCGAGTCAAATTTGACTCGCTTTCAGTCACCAGTCGTTTTGGCCTTCAGTCACCAGTCATTCGGTGGGGAGCTCAGTCACCGATTGTTTGGTGGCTTGTACATTACTATTTCGTCCTAGTTACTATACGTACCTTCCGTTTTCCAACGAGCTGTCACTCCTAGTACTAAAAATTGATTGCGGGTCCTCCGAGCATTGAGCTGGAGGACCCCGCTTGCCCTAAACTCTTCACACGAGTGCCTTCTCTGGTGCAGGTTGATTCAATGTTATTTAAGGCCTTTTGATGGAAAGAGCCTCGGGCATTTGTCGACAAATATAAAATACCATTAGATTTAGTCACAAAGCTATGACATTCCTCCTTTTCAGATAATGAGGGGTGGTAGTAGACTTATCCCAATTATTTCGTGCATTGTCATTTGGCCCTTATTGTCGTGAATTGAGATCCTATTTATGAAAATTTGAAAGGGATTAAAATAATTGGACAGATTGCCAAATCGTCAAATTCTTGCAGATTTGTGCAAGTTGGATCGCATTTCATCCAATTTGAGAAGGAGGTTTTTCCTGAGTAGCTTTGACATCGGAAGCAGATATAAGAAAATGAAAAACGCTTCTTTCCTCTACAAGGTCAAACATGATAATGTAATGACCGATGGCAGAATTATGCTGATGTGTGCGATTGTGTACTATATATTGTGATATATGGCTTTCTACTTTCTTCACCGGTTCACTGATGTCGATGCCAGATCTTCAGATCAGTTATCTGAAGCTGAAGTTCTTTTCACTTCCGATTGAGACAACTTGCGCCAATGAAAAGTCACCGTGCTTCGCAGAGTCCAGAGAGGAAGTTTGTTCACTTCCGGTTCAAATAACTTGCGAGGCTGGTATATGGCATTAGGATTGCGTAGGGGTTGATTGGAATAGCCAACGACATTATGTAATGGATGTAGTCTTTTTTTTCGGCGTTGCCCATATCACTGCGACAGCGACGTTCGAAACAATACTTAGCACACATGGATTGCCCTAGTGTCCAGCATCAATGGCGTGGTGTATGCCAAAGTACTACATATTACAGTGGCCAAGTTTGTTCATTTGTGGAACGCCTCTTCGACGAAAATGACCTCTACTGGTAACTGCAAGCCAACTCAAACGAAGTCTAAGAAAACTTCAGGTGAGTGGCTTCTTGAACCTTCATCTTCAATTAATTTGGCGCGTACTGCCACTCATTTTGTCCAAAGATCTCAGAGTCTGACTCACAAGAAACGTCCACCGCGGTGCAATGGGTGCCCTCTAAATACAGCTCAGATGTATCTCAGTACGTTCTCGTAGGCCTCCCAGGGCTCCATGTGGCAACCGTCAGCTGCTCGGTTTTCCTCTTATCAAGAGAGACCTTTGGGACATAGGGACCATTACTTTCAAGCAAATTTGGCCGGACAGAACCTTACCAGACGATCATCTCTTTATTGCCATGAACTCCCTTACATTTCTCGAGGTATATCTCGGCCTTCGCGCTTGTACCATGGCACGTGGAAAGGTGGTTGGAGACTCGAAGAATATCTTACCGGAGTGTATGTCGTCGCCTGGAAAGGTGCTGTTGTTAGTATTGTGGAGGGATACAGAACCCGAGGCGACCTGTCCAACGCCAAGTCAAGTGCATTCCCTGGAGGTGAAGCTTAAGCGCTCACCGAGATGGTGGGTTGAAGTCCCAGTGCGTATGCATATTGATCTCGAGAATCGTTTAGCTGGCATTCTTTATTCATTTATCTTTCGCAATTTTGATGAATACTGCGCCATGGTTCCATGACTGGTCGTGTTACCTACCCACATGGGTATGTTGACACCTTTGCTGGTATGTGCTCGATTTCATCTGTACTCATCAGTCCTCACGATCTGGGCGCACCGAGTTCACCGTGTATTATGTCAATGTCATCTAGGGTTGTATAACTTCTGAACAGGTGGTACGTACGTTACAACTCTAAACAACGGAGTCCGGTCGAGTTACTTGTTTCTCAGAAATGTGGCTATTGTCTTTGATCTTATGTACTTGCTCCTGGTAACCTCCATACGTGTCCTCTGCGTCTCGAAGCAATGACGCCAGGAGGGCCCTTTCATGATCTCCGAACCCTCGTAGATCGTCTGAGCTAAGCTTGAACGACTTTTCTGCTTTGTTATTTTCCAACTGCTCCGCCACTTTGTCTCTCCATACATCCCATACCCTCGTGTCGTTCGAGATGAACCGATGCAAGACTTTCTTTGGTTTGAAGTCGACAGATGGCCTTTGGATGCCATTACTGAGGACTAAGCACGCAAAAACTGCCTGAGCAGCTCTACTTTTGAGGCCAAATTTCAATAGTTGTGGATTGCCAAGTGCTTTCCATAAGAGATCGACCTGTATCTTCTCTTGCTCCAACGACGACAAAAATGAATTATATGCCCACGAGGCCGCAACCGATGAGATGAACATGATCTGCCCAAATGTTGATGCCTGAGGCATGAAAAGGAGCTGGAGAAGGAACTGCGCAAGGAGGAGAAGCGAGCAGAGTCCAATCCGTCTGTACTCTGGGCCGCCATGCATCCTTAGGACGAATTTGCCTTTCGTTATTGGATTAATGTCTTTCTCTGCGCCTCGGACAATGACTACATTGTTTCGCATCAGGAGTATCCCGTCTGCAGGCGGCGTGCCTGGAGAGGGTTCTTTCACGCCAGCAAGAAAGTCGAGTTGAGCAGAGCCGATGACAAAGCAAGATGTCCCGCCTGAAATGACTCCCAGCAGGATGAGGGCAAAAGCTAGCCAATCTCCCGAAGCCGCGCAAAGCACGCACGTTGCGAGATTGATGGTAATGGGGATAGCGGCCAAGAGAGCATGGTGGACGCTCATCATTGGCGCCTGGTCCGTGTGCTTGAGTATCACATCTCCGACATCGAGGATGGTGACTGTTTGAGGTATAGTCTCCCGTCCTCCCAATTCTACCACTTCCTCGACTTCTTCCGTCTTCTGCACCACGAGGTATGCCAGGTGACCACAGGCCATATCCGTGCCTGACAAAACGCCCCAATAACGGGGGCCGGTCTTTCCATCCAGCCCAAATACTTCAGCTGGTGTTAAATTTGGACCAGGGAAAAGCCCATCCCAAAATCGCGAATTAGCAAGTTGCCCGAACTTTTTGGCAACAATGTAACTTCCTGGTGAATTATACCAGCCTAGCCAGCGCCTCCCGCGGTAGAGATGGACAGTTGCCATCGCTGAGATGGCTTCATCCCCACCGAAGAATCCAGCGACGCCCGACGTGTCGAGATTGAAGCTCGACTGGCTGATGGACACATTGAGGATGGGCATCTAGTAAATCTAACCATTAGTTGTAAAGCCACTCGACAATAGGCTCATTTCCTCAAGGTAACCGAACGCAGGGACCTGGTGGGAATTTTCATTTCAGGGTCGAGACTTACTACTTCGGACGACTCTTAAGCTTCACCGTGTAAGTGGAATGCATAGCAAATCTACAACTACAACAAATTATAATACCATACCTACACAGCGCACAAATGTCCGGCAACTACTAGTGAGGTGCCTGTCAGGTACAATCATATATCAACCAATCAAGCTCTCGGATATCCATCCCGCTCTAAATCAATCACTGGCAGTTAGACACTGTTAGACAGCGTGGTACATATCTAGGGACCGGCCTTGGGGGCCTCCTTGTTCATCTGGGTTACAAGGTACGCGACGTGAGTCGTTCCAGTTCCTTCCAATGATGGTGCCACACAGAGAAGCGATGTTTTTAGGACTCAACTGCTTGTTTAGCCCGAGAACTTTTTATGGCTTTTCGTCAAGCTCGGAGAAAAGTGCGTTTCAGACCCGATGGTGCTCAGGCACTTGACGACGGCGAAGCCACTGGGAGCATTGTATCAGTGGATAGTCAATATGGCTTGTACGGCTTCGTCTCCACCGAAGAATCGTGCGACGCCAGATACAACCAAGTTGAATTTGGTGTTGAGACATAGTTGGTATGTAGTTACACCGTCGTTCGCTCACTCGAATGATCTGCAAAACTGCATTTCGGATCTCTGCCGACTTGTAGATGACACGGAAGTTCTTTCCTTCTGTCTCACCGACGATCCTCGGATACCTTTTTACTTGTCCAGATTTGCGGCGATGTCTTTCCATAGGTTCTTGATTATAAACGTGCTGCCTGTGAGGTGGAGCGCAGCAAAGTTGGGGGTGCGATGACTTCTGGAAATGGCCTGGAATGCACTGAATGACGCTGGGTGGAACATCAGCCTCCGCGAGGATCTGATAGATCAAGTAGTTGGAATACGTGGCTGCTGGTGAAGGTTTCCATACGACTGTGTTACCGACGATTGAGGGAACTAATTTGTCTGGTTCAGAACGCAATGATTAGGATAAAAATAGTGACTCGTACCACCTGGAAGGTTTCCACTGATCGCTGTGAAGTTGAATGGCGAAACTGCGAGAACAAAGCCTTCCAGCGCACGATACTCGACGCAGCTATCCAATCATCAGAAGTAGCTTGATGGAAGGGGCATCGCACTTACTTCCATGATCCTGCTGCGTTCTTAGGAGGCTGTTGTGTGTAGAGCTCCTCGACACATTTGACGCCGAAACGGAAAGCTGCGAAAATTCCATCAACCGACTGCCATCAAGCTTACACACCTCTGCGGCAGCATCGATCTCGGCCTGCAAAGCGTTCTTCCCTTAACCAAACATAGTAGCTGCTACCAATCTGTAACGGTACTTGCCGCTAAGAAGTTCTGCAGCACGCAGGAAGATGGTGGCGCGATCGTTCCAAGGCATGGCCTCCCACTCAGCTTTGGCGGAAAGATGGAAGAGTTGCCCGGCACTTTAATTCATTTTCCTCACATCGAGGTTGCTCTCGCTGCGATCTCTTTCAAGAACTCATTCATCAGGAAATCCGAGATACACATTGCATTGCCTGTGATATTGACCAGTATGTAAAATCACTGCTGGTTGCCTGCAGGTCCTGCTTCTTCGGCATCCTCGAACGTCCTTGCTTCTAGCGCGGTCGGATACTTGATGTCGATGTCAGCCACGAAGCTGTCGGCAGGACAGCTTATCCCAAGCCATCTTCAGCACGCCGATATTTCTGTGCGGAGATCAGATAGCTCCTGCCAAGGGAGGCCCCGACACTAATTTGGCAAGATTCTCGTGCCTGTCACAGTAACGCACTCCGCGTGACGGATGACATAGGGCAAAGGGTTGATCGGGCCCCGACACTACTAAGATTCTCGTGCCTGTCACAGTGACACACTCCGCGATACTACCGAAATGTTCAGCTTAACGATTGTTAAGAATTTCGTTGTGCCCATACATACGTATGTGTTTACTTACCCATCAATGTCAAGCTTGTTACATGATGAACGATGCATGCTAAAGGTTCCCTAGTGCTTGCATGAACCACGTTCCAATGGTTCCATTACTATGACTCGAACGCTGCTACCTTGAGGCTTCAACATCAGTGAATTCATGAGTCCTTGATTTTGTAGCCGTGGGAAGTATAAGATGATATCATTTTGCTACGGCTGAATATACCTATGTATACAGCAATAAATATTAGTTATCGGTACATAGCCATGAATCTCTGAAAATTCATTTTACCATGAGGAGTTCGCAACAAGATTACAACATTGCGCCGTTGCAGCAATCAATATGCAATAGCATGGTTAAGTTATATTTGTTGACTCATGCCATGTTCCCTCATTTATGTTTTAAACTACCAAGTGATATAAGACTTTATCGTGGAAAGAACCGTTAGCACTTGTAACCTAATTTATATTCTTATGAGAGCTTCAACCAGCGAGGTATGATAGTGTAATTAGGTACCGTTTGTTGAGCAACATCATATTACCTCATTTATTTTTGACTTACAAAACTATATAGATCGGTTCAAATATTGCGTGAATTACAATGTCATCCAAAATCATGCACGTGACTATCACCTCAGCCTCAAATTTTACCTTAGAATTTTCGGACAACCTCAAATCATGTGACCAGCGCAAGTGGTTGAAATTGATTTGTCATTGTTTGCGCAGGACGGAAATTTACACGCAAGTTCCTTTCAATCCTTCTTTCACCGCTACTACCACCACCTCTCGACTCAGCATCTTCATTCCTCCCATTTGTGATGGTCCCTCCCTGGCCTTTTCCTTGTGGTACCTCCTTGGCCGTTCGTGGTGGTTCCTGCCTGGCTGTTCGTGGTGGTTCCTCCCTGGCTGTTCGTGGTGGTTCCTCCCTGGCCTTTCCTCATGGTTCCTTCCTGGCCGTTCGTGGTGGCCCTTCCTTTCCTCATGGCCCTTCCTTTCCTCGTGGTTCCTTCCTGGCCGTTCGTGGTGGTCTGTCCTTCCCTCATGGTTCCTTCCTCTGGCCATTCATGGTGGTCCTTTCCTTTCCTCGTGGCTCCTTGCTGGCCTTTTTTCGTGGTTCCTTGCTGACCTTGGTCCCTCCTTTCATTCATCTCTCCGCTATCTTTTCCTGTTTTCTTTTTGTCCTGTAACCACATATGTAGTATTTAAATATAAATAAAATTAATTTGCTTCACAAAACGAGTGCTGAGGATGAGAATAATTTGGTACTGGTGACAAAATGACAGGTTGTTGTAGGCAATCTGTCATGCTGGCGCTTTTGGTAGTTCTGTCTAACTTACTCCAGGTAGTATCATTCTCGCAGATATCATGTAAATTTTGCAATTAGATAAAGCATTGTAAAGCTTTATATTTTCACGTCAATTATTTGATGCTTCGGAGTTGTGAACCTCCCTTTCGTTATGGCATTTCATAACATTTTATACGATAATCAGGGACGCGTCTTTCCTCTATAAGGTCAAACATAACAATGTGATTGTCGATAGCAAAATTATGCTAGTTCTTGCGATTATGTACTATATATTGTTATTTATTGCTATCTACTTTCCTCACGGGTTCACTGATGCAATGTGGTCAAGGGTATTGGGGTGCTTGTTATTTAAATTCTGGTTCCACCAAATACTCTTCCCTACCTCTAATTCTTGCATCTATTTTCCTCAGGCTGATTCCAATCTTTGACTCATCCCAATGACCGAAGACCACAGGCAGGAATCTCTTCCGGAGGCTTCTCAGTCCAGAGAAGCAACTGCTGGCGAGAGCTCCGTACGTGCCCTCATTAGACCGCTGTCGATGAGCGCTAATGACATTTCCCTGCCTCCTACGCATCCTTAATCCAGAGCCAGCACCGTAGCGGCTGCGGTCTCGGTCAGGCCCTGCGGAAAGTTAAGAAGAATGTGACTAAAAAGTTTCCGTATGTCGGCCTGAATGCTGAAGGGACTAGAATATAGCTGATATTTTACAGAAACACTTCAAGCGTTCCCGCCACCAAGTCCCCGTTGTCTAGAACACCGATCATGAAAGTGTTTTGTCGAATCAGAATGCTGAGGTAAGTAGTCATTGTTTTCATCTTGAACTTGTCTAAGGTCAACCAAGCATGGATCGAGTCTGCATCCTTCCGATGGCGACAAGCCCGTCACATCTGAGAATCTCAGTGGCCGTGGGAATCAAGGAGCGCCCGGAGAACCTGCTTCGAAGGTATTTACGCCAAATGATCTATTTTTCATATCTAAATTCTGGTGGTCGTGCAGGTCCTCGACACACCTCCTGACGTGAAAGGGATTCCTGATTCCCAATCAGTTGATGCTGGACTTCAGGGTGCCCGTAAGGCTACAGAAAGTATGAGACCACTCGGGGGACGTGTCACTTCCATCAGGAAAAAACCATTGACTACAGGGTGCTATATAGTCATTATAGTACCTGTAGCCAGATTTGTCAAGTGTCTACTATGTGGAGCTATATAGCCACGCAGCGAACTATGTAGTGCTACGGCCACTCCTGTAGCTCGTTGTAGCAACCAACTACAGGTGCTACAGAAAGCTATATGTGCTACAAATTACTATAGGGTGCTATAGGAATAGTGTTAGTATTTGCTCGTTCGAGCTACAGGTAGCTACACACTGCTACTGTAGCTCCTGCAATATAGATCAGGCCACTGACTGGAAATCAACAAAATCGAATCAATTAAGGTGCTATAGCGTGTGAGCATGTATACAATCCTCGAGATACAGCTGCCTCAATCACCATCCCCTTCAGAATTCTCGTGCTTCTCGAGCCTCATCTTCATGCTCTCGAATAGCTTCATCGAAAACGTCATCTGTGAAGCTATCGATAGTCACTGCCGCCATGAATGGATCCACACCAGCGTGCATCCTTTTTATGAATGTCAGTTTGGATGATGAATGACATAAGTAATAAAAAAATACCGAGCAACGTCGAGAAGATTGACACCAATTTTACCAAGCAGTTTGTAAGCAGCAGTCCGCTCATCGAACCGCCACAGGGAGTTGAGATGAAGAAGGTAGACCGGGGAGTAAGCAACCGACGAAAATTTGATGTCCTCCTTTACTCCAGTCATCCACTCGTCGATGCAGCATTCAATCTGTCAGACCTCAGTTGCAGTACGAACATCAGAATCACTGAATACACTCACTGCTGTGAGTATAAGCGCAATGGTTTGAACGGGTAAAGGATCGAAATTTTAGCATATACTATACCCTCGTCGATTCGGTTTGCGAACCACATATCATTCACCACCTCCTGGATTAATCCGGTCTTGTATATGCCACGTTTCATTTCCCAGTCCTTTTACTCTGCCAGTCAGACATTGACTAATGATGGTAAAATTGAATTTAAACACGCACCTTAAAAACAAAACACGATCCTTCCTTGAGAGCTTCAGCCAGGTCACGGTTTTGCTTGATGGCGGGTATAGATCTGCTTCCACGGAAGCCAAAGAATGAGGCCGTCAGTACGCGCATCTTTGTTTTAAGCTCCTCGCGCACTTGTGATGTGCGCCTCGTCATCTATATGCAACATAAATAAAATCAAGTAGGGCAAGGACGCGGACACGAGACGTACCATTTTGACGAGAGAAGGGGTCAGTTGGATGGTAAGCTCTGCCATGTTAGACGCCTCATGCCAGGCATCCTTTGCTAGCTTGGTCTCAATGATTAGTGTCTCTGGAAAAGGTGCACGAGTCACGACTAGACAGCGGTAGATAGACGTGGCAGTGGTGAGCAAATCCTTGGTGACGTCGTCGAAATCGCTGGCCTTTAATCATTGGCGTGTTCTGTCTGGACCTTTATTGAACTTCATGTCAGTATTGAGGACCTTTGAGTCCTCCAGTTTGTGCTTGGTGCCGACAACCAGTGGTGAAGAAGCTTTGGCCACTTCGTCATGATCATCGGGAGTGTTGTCCGCACCACAATCAGACTCGTTCTCAGTGTCGTCCTGGTCCATGCGATCGACAAAGTTGTTCAAATCGTTGCTGTCACTGCTGCCCTCACTGTCACTGTCGTTATGCAAAGACACAACAGTTGTGGACGCTGAAAAAGTGTGTTAGTTCAAGATACACACAGGACAAGACATAGTACCTTTCTGTGGCTTTGTATGGATCTTACTCGTGGGTTTTTGGGCCAAGACAGTTGGAGGGGTCTTGCTCATACTGTATGTGAGCGCCTGTTGATTAGGTAGTCTTGTAGGTACACTGCGGTCCGAAAACTATTATGTAGTTGTGAGTGACATGGAGCACCTGGACAAATAAGACACTGACCATGTTGTCTTCATCCATGTCAGCATCGCTGAGAAGCCCAGCAGGCTCGCTGTCGAATACCTCGGGATGTGTCTGGTATGTAGTGCACAGTGCCTTTAAGTCGCGCTTCTTCATCTTCATTTCTAAGGCCTTTTGGCGTTCTTCTCCTCGATGAGCTTTTAAAACTGTTGAGCAGAAACATGTAAGTGAGCGCGAGCATTCATGTTGGGCTTGATATAACTTACTTCAATATGTTTCTTTTTCGGTTGGCCAACGTTGCCGACCACTTGCAGTGCGTCCCGCGGTCAACACCATCTCTGCACATAGGTTCTCCTGGGCCTTCAAAAGTGCTGTTTTACCTCCCTTTTTGGAGGGGGATTTTGCAGGCATAATAGACGGTAGTCAGTAGAAATAACGATGACAGAAGGAGGGGGTATGCATGCCTTTAAAAACCCTACAGTGGCGTCAAATCAACAAACAATTTTTGAGTTTTGTTGATCACGAAGTTAAAGTTTTCAACTGACCAAGCGGTGTCAATATATTGGCATAAATAAGAGGGACGGGGATGACTTTCCTTTCAAACATACAATAAATACTACAGCGAAATCGATACTACAGCCAAAATGAATAAATTGTAAGTGGCTGCCTTCTCCAATGCTTGCCTCACACTCACCGATGTTGTAGTTCAGCGTTCATGTTGTCGAACGAATCAGATGACGTGAAGCCGAACATCTTGTTATTGAAACCTCCTCCAAGTCGACCATTTCACGCGGTCGTTGCTCCGGGATGGGCTAGGAGGGAGGTTAAGCCTGCTCTTGATATTCAGTTTCCATTGGCACCATATCGCCAAACTCCAGGACCCATCAAAACATCGCAGACCTACCTGCGAACACTTGTCCTAGAGCGCTGGGATGCAGAGATTAGGCTTTGTGATGAGTCATGCAGAGTGCAGCTCTCAGAGCACATACAAGGTCCTGCTGCTCACCAAAATTTGGTGCAGGAGATGATAAAGGTGCGATGGAATGCTGAAAAAAAGCAGTGTGAGGAGTCATGCAAGGTTCAACTTTTGGAGCTCTTACTTGCGGCTCATGGCATTACTACCCTAGCTTAGTTGTCAGTTAGTTTTAGTCAAGTTAGTTTTAGTGTCAGTTAGTTTTAGTCAAGTGTCATTTGGAATAAGGGCGCACCATGTGGGTCACCTTTATTTTCAACGATGTTCGGGTCAATCTCCATATTATGAACTGCATCCGTGACAGTAGTTAGTCACTTGCAAGGGTCACATTGCTGCAAATGACTTTTGTGTTAGTCACAATTAGGGCCGGTATGAGGACTCACTTGAGGGTCAGCCTGGTCTAAACTCAAACTGGGCGCAGCAATAACCAGGCGCTGCGCCACAACTAGATCTGGGCACCAATGAGGCGAGTACCATAGGTAGATTGAAGATGCTTACATGTATGCCAGTCGAATGGTGGTAGGTCATGGAACTTCGAATATAGTCCGAGTCCAATTTTGGTCTCCGCGAGTCCAAGAAGAAGGACCTTCTGGAACATGGTTTGTGTCGAATGGCGGGAGGTCATGGAACTTCGAATATAATCTGATTGAAGGAGTCGACCTTCTGGAACACAGTTTGAGCCTGGACAAGATAGTGTTAGTGTTAGTGTGAAGGAGTCGACCTTCTGGAATGCGGTTTGAGCCTGGACAGGATAGTGTTAGCGTGTTTTTTCCATTTTTGTGGCGTCAAGATACTTAGGGCCGGTACAACATGACTTGACACGAGTTTCGTGTCAATCGCACCATCAATCACACCAGACAAGCCAGCATGCCCCACTGTGTATTCTGTGGGAAGGTAACAACTACACACGAGGGTCTCAAGAGACGCATTGTAGGGCGTCTTGAATGTTGAACACAGTATGAATCAATGATCAAAGAAGTAGAGGCAGAGAACTTAGACGACGCACCAGATGTTGACTTCCCCCATCAAGATGCAGCTCCAGGCCATGTTCACCCGCGCCCGTCTCCAGATATGGACGATAACCCAGCACTCAGCAAGACTTGTTGTGTTACAGTCGAGGAAGTCGAAGATGAAGATGGGATGTCGTTCACCAATAATGGCCGATATTTTGAACCTCGGACGGATGCTGGCTGGGCACTGCATGAGGGGGAGACGAGTTTTGAAAAATATAGAACATACCAAGAGGAAGAGGGTGATGATCCATGGTCGCCTTTTGAGGACAAGTAAGTGCTCGAATGCGCTGGCAAAGCATCTACTACATAGATATCACTCACCAGGGAAGAGTGGGATCTGGCTCACTGGCTTGTCAAGAACCTTGGTCAGATGCGGACTGAAGAATTCCTGAAACTGCCCATAGTAAGTTTGAAAGCGTTGATCAAAATTTGAACTTACAATATTGATACCCTAGTAACCAGACACAAAACCGCAGCAAACTTTCATTTCATAACAACCACTCATTCTTGCAGCGCGTGGATAAACTTCCACGCGGGCCAGGATGGACTTGTAAAAAGGTGACTGTGCGTGGAAACTGCGAGGATGATAAAGGCGAAATGTTGCAAGAAGATGTTGAATTGTGGAGCCAGGACCCTGTAGAATGCGTGAAAGAGCTCATTGGCAATCTGGCCTTCAAAGAACATATGGCGTACTCACCTGCCAAAGCATATGCAGACCGTGCGGGGCAACATAGAGTCATTGACGAGATGTGGACAGCAGACTGGTGGGGCGAGAAACAGGTAAGACTATTTGAGAGGGAGTGACAAAGCAACAGACTGACCTCACACACAGAACACCTTGCCAGAGGGTGCAACAATAGCACCAATCATTCTATCTTCAGACAAAACATCGTTGTCGCAGTTCCGAGGGGATAAGTCGGCATGGCCAGTGTACATGTCCATTGGAAACATCGCTAAAGCAAAAAGGCGCCAAGCATCAGCACGAGCAACCGTTCTCATTGGTTACTTACCAGCTAGCAAACTTGACTGTTTCACCCCCGATGCACGCTCCTTGGCTGGATACTGCCTCTTCCACCATTGCATGGCTCTACTGCTCCAACCTCTCATCGGTGCTGGAAACGACGGTGTCGAAATGGTGTGTGCGGACTTGTGGGTTCGTCGTATCTACCCAATTCTTGCAGCGTATGTCGCCGATTTCCCGGAACAGTGTTTGGTCAGTTGTTGCAAAGAGAACTGATGTCCAAAGTGCCTTGTAGCTGCAAATGAGCGAGGGGATGCACTTAACTCAGCAATGCGTGATCCAGAGTCAACAAAAGAAATCTTGCACAAGCACAAGATTGGTCAGCATCCTCCAGAATTTGAGGCCAATGGTCTACGCGCCGTTTACAAGCCTTTCTGGGCTGATCTGCCTCACGCAGACATTTTTCTAGCTTTCACACCTGACCTTCTGCATCAACTTCACAAAGGTGTCTTCAAAGACCACCTTGTGAAGTGGTGCATTGATATTATCGGGGAGGATGAGATCGACGCACGTTTCAAGGCGATCCCGAATTATCCTGGCCTTCGACACTTCAAGAAAGGGATATCGAGTGTGAAGCAGTGGACAGGGTGTGAACATAAAGAGATGCAGAGAGTATTTGTTGGCTTATTGAGCGGGGCAGTATCTAGGTGAGTGTTTATTGAGTCATTAAGATGATGTTTTGATGTCATGCCTGGCAGTCGTGTTTTGGTGGTTGCACGATCTATTCTTGACTTCTCGTATCATGCCCAGCTGCACATTCAGATGACTGAGTCCCTCGAAGCCCTACAAACCGCCCTGACTGTATTTCACGCAAATAAAGACATCCTCAAAGAGCTTGCTGTTTGAGAGCATTTAAACATACCAAAATTACACCAGCTCTCTCATTATGTGCAGTCCATCACGTTGTTAGGCACAGCTGACGGCTTTAACACCGAACTTCCCGAGCGCTTGCACATTGATTTCGCAAAGGATTCATACCGTGCTAGCAATAAACGGGACTACGAGGAACAAATGGCTTTGTGGCTCTAACACCAGGAAGCCGTGTTTATACGTAGCGCATACCTGGATTGGTTGTCACAACAGCCTCACTCAAACCCACATGACTTTGACGCAGATTCAGACATGGACTCAGAGTCGGAAACACCAAATCTTCCTGCCGCTGAACCACTTCAAGCAAGCCATGTCCTTGCAAAAGTCCCTGCGCATCCTCACCAATCCGTTCAAACCATCATAACAGCACACGGTGCTACTGAGTTCCTCCCTGCTCTCCGATCATTCTTACTCAAGAATCTCCTGCACAACACCATAGTCCCTGGTCTTCAAGACTGATTCGATCTTTATCGTCAAGTGGTGATTGTGACACTGCCAGATTTACGAGTTAGCGATGTGCCAAAGCGAAGGCGCATCAGAGCAACTCCAGAAAAGTTGCCATCAGGCCGGAAGCCTGGTACTCCAGCCCAGTTTGACATGGTGTTGATAGCAGACAGGCCTCGCTCTTCGCATTTGCATACTCTTGAGGGTATTTTTTTGCTGAGTTTCTCAGCGGTCAATTTTGTTAACAGTCTGGCTGCAGGTGTACGAGTAGCACAAGTTCACGCTATTTTCACTCTACCTCACCAGTTCGGCGCATATTCCAGAGCCCTCGCTTATGTCAAGTGGTTCACACCTTTTAAACCACCCGACCCTTCCTCTTGAATGCGACAGGTCTCGCGCTCAACCCGCCAACTTCGCCGCAATGCTGCTGTAATCCACGTTGACGAAGTTGTGCGGCCGTGCCATTTAATACCGAGGATGGGACAATCAGTAGATCTGAGGTTGAGAAGCGGAAATGCATACAAGGTGGCGAACAATTTTTATTTTAACGAGTTCATTGATGGCGAAATGTTTTGCAGCATGTGTTATAAAGTAATGATATACAACGACAGTGTCACGTACATACTACGGTTGCACCTGTAGCTGCTTGTAGCTGCAGTGATAGCTCTTGTAGCTACCTGTAGCACCCCCCAACCATATAGCCGCTTGTAGCTTGGCTAAAGACTATATAGCGCTATATAGGTCACTGTAGCGTAAGGTGCGCCTACATAGTGCTACTGTGCCTAAAAAGCGCTATATAGCTGTCGCTCGGGCTACGGCATTTTGGGTTTTTTCCTGATGTGGTACTGATTATCAGAAAATGGTCAGTTATAACTGGTTGAAGGTGATGTTCCACATTGCAATAGGTGAATTTTTCTGCGAAGTCTGCCAAACAGAAGATGTTGTCTTGTCTGGTGTGATTCTTGGTGTTGGAGGCTTCTAGTGTGGCTATTGTGGGGGGGAGGACTTGGACCATGTTGTATAGGGCGATGATATTTATCAGTTTGCCTGCGGCATCTAGATTCACTGCAGAAAATAGGTCTACAGCATGTACTGTAGGCTACAGCTACTCCAAGTCTTTCTCATCATAAGTCCTTATTTATTGAGGAGATATGGAGGGAGACTTGCCTGTAGTGAGTGAGTGTGTTGATTCTCCTTCAACCAAGAGCCACACTGATCCAAGTTGTTGCCCACCGTTCACGCTTCGTGGGTATGTTGATCCTCCTTTGACCAAGAGCCATGCTGATCCAAGTCGTTTCCTGCCATTCGCACTTCATGAGTGTATCCTCCTTCAACCAAGAGCCACGCTGATCCAAGTCATTTCCTGCTGTTCGCACTTCATGAGTGTGTTGATCCTCCTTTGAGCAAGACCCACACTGATCCAAGTTGGTTCCCAACATTCGCACTTTGTGAGTCTGTCAATCTCATTATTGTGTTGCTACTACTGACATACACTGTCCAGCTTCATCACATATTCACATGGGAACGAAGGAATCTCGCTGTACCCGAAATGGGTCCAGTCCAGTACAATGGTGTGGGGCCTCATGATCACCGATCCATGGGATAAAGGCCTGTGTCGACCGAATCTTAGATACGAAGTTTCCGTCCTAGCCCCAACCCTCTCCTCCCCACCCGTGGGCCATAAACTGCCCTTGTGGTGGGTCACTGGTTACATAGTCAGCTGGCCAGCCCTAGAGTGGTTGGTTGCAGTAGTGGCATGGACCACCCACTCCCACTGCATATATAGGCTCAGCAGTAGTATCCCTAAACGATAATGAGATGGACAAGCGGTAGGGGTAGGGGTAGCCCCCTGACAAGAACTTTCGCAGGTTCAAAACTGCATGCCTGCATCCGCTTTCCTAGCCATCCTCTTGCTCTGCTACCAGGTCCCTATCTTCAGAGACGGATGACTGCAGTGGATGCTAAGGTGGTGGTCAGACTCAATGGCGCTCAGCTGGATGCTGATGCTCAGGCTTCGCTTCTGAGCATCTGGCTAGTTACCTACACCCATATCTAGTACAGGAATACATGGGTCATGGGCTACCCACTGCGGATTACATACCAAGTTGAACTACTTATTTTACTTGTTGTACTTATTTTTGCTTTGAATATTTGAACTAACTTTTTTGATCTTATGCTACTTTTCGGCACTTGTGTGTCATATGCTTACTTTTTTGACTTGTGAAAACAAACAGCCAAGTGAATAAAGGTGAATGTGTCAATAAGTTAAAAATAAGTTTTAATTTTTGAAAAAGGTCCTCCAAGAAATGTGTGAATTTACTGATGAACGATGCACGAGATGTAGGGAGTATACGAACTAGTGGAAACCAATAGTAATGATTGGTTACAACTACAAGTCTTGATTTACGTTCCTATGTTTCCTATCAAAACCCTAATCACATCATTGCGGCTGAGGGAGAGTTGCCATTTCTTCGGAGTGACACTGACACACTGTACATACTACATGCAATATCGACGCTAACATTCCCGCCAGTTTCCTCTCCGTCCATCAACGTTCATCAACCTCCGCTCGTCGACATACAGCGAGCGGGGGGTCGTCGCACAGCCGCCGTGTCACGGGACATCCCGTCCCAAGCTTTGGCCAAGTATCAGACAGGAAAGGAAATGCTGCTCACATGGCCTGCAAGCTGATTGGAGTTTGCCACACACGCACACAGGAACATCGTGATACACAATCACGTTCTAACCCCAGTAAGCATCCTGATATGTATTGCATTCAATGCCTGTAACGGACACCTCGGACGGCAGAGCACAAACTTACCTAGGCTGTGACTTGCACGAAGTAGAATGCGTCAACGAGCACACGTTTGCCGATATGCCACCAATCAACATTGAGCGAAAATGGCAGAGAAAATGCTCTAAGTTGGTGACTGTATGCGTCTCCAGGGCCCGGATCACCTATAAGACTCAGCCGCGATTCTATTTTAAGAGGTGGAGTTGATACAAAAGATTCCTTGCCTGCTCTTTGTCGACGTCCTCTATCACTGCCTCCCTCAACGCCATGGCTGAGAAGAAAGTCGCCCTGAGTAGTATTTCTCTCATCTTTGCGTACGTTATCTTGTATTTGTTTCTCATCTTCAAATTGATCACGATGCTTGGATCCTTTCTCACAGCTGTGGAACGGCTCTGTTTTCTGATGGCAAGCAGTTACAACATCTGTCTCCTTTAACGTGAATTTCATAATCGTTCGCAGGTTATGCCAACAATGTCATTGGTGCTGGTGGGTAATTATTCAACTTAGTGAGCCCTCTTTGACCTCAAATTCAACTGTCTTGCAGTCAACACTCGTAAGCGATTTTTGCCATCAAATTTACGAAAGGTTTAATGTGAATTACAGTTCTGGAACGCATATACGGCACTGGTTCCGGCGGCATCACTACAAACTACAGCACCACACTCTCTAGTGTCGCCTTCGCAGGTGCGTAACTGAGTCTCCTTCATTGATCTGCAATTAAATCGTATCAGGCACCGTGGTGGGTATGCTCACCTTTGGCTATCTCTCCGACAAAGCTGGGCGCAAATTTGGTATGGTAAGTAGATGTCAACCTCAATCGAGCAACCCGCAAGTCATGCTTTTGAAACAGATGTCCGCAACTGGGATCGTTGCAATATTTTCTGGTCTCTCAGCTGCTTCGTCTGGTGCTAATCACAGCCTCGATGGCATGCTTGCTATGCTTATTGCATGCCGGTAAGTACATGTGCCGGTGCGAGATCATCTCTGCCACTCATTATTTCTAACACAGCTTCCTTCTTGGAATTGGCGTCGGCGCTGAATACCCTTGCGGCTCCGTGGCTGCATCTGAACAGTCGGAGGAAGAGGGCATTGCTAAGAACTCGCAACACCGATGGCTGGTGCTCGCAACGAGTGAGCCGATGTGGTGAAATACCTTTATCACCAGTATTCTAAAACACGCTGCTCAGACACTATGATCGATGTCGGTTTCGTTATTGGAGCATTCGTACCATTAGTACTTTACTGGATGTCTGTGCCGCCATTCACTTCCACATCTTGTAATCTATATCTAACAGTTGCTTTCCAGATTCGGGGACAACCACCTTCGTGCCGTCTGGCGCCTCTCGCTTGGGCTTGGTGTAGTTCCTGCTGTTGCTGTCTTCTTTTGGCGGCTGCGCATGGAGGAACCTAATCGCTACAAGCGCGATTCAATGAAACACGTCCGTATCCCATACAGACTAATCATTAAAAGATACTGGCGTGGCCTGTTTGGCATCTCGCTAGTATGGTTCATCTATGACTTCATCACGTATGTCTGCAACCACTTCCATGCATTCTTGACTAGTTACTCACATACCTCCAGATACCCAGTATGCTGTCAGACGCTTACGGAATAAATTATCACTGATTTTTTTTTGTAGTTCGGACTTTATTCATCCACAGTCACCAATGCGTATGCATCTGCTTTTGTTTTCTTGATATGAGTAGAACTTAACTGTTTTGGCAGCGTTACCGGCGGCAATTCATCCCTCACCGTTGTCTTTGGTTGGTCTGTTGTGATCAAGTAAGCCTTCACCCGTTCATGATTCATGCTCCTATTTACATGATTTCGCAGTCTGTTCTACATCCCAGGTTAGTCTATTGGACGATGACGAACTTCCAGAGCTCACTCACATTCTGCAGGCACCGTTGTGGGCGCCTTCTTCGTTGATCTTTTGGGTCCGAAGGTCACTATAGTGAATATTATTAAGCAGATGCGGTGTGCCTTTTCTGAATCTCATGTTAGATCACTGGCCTTCTCGCGCAAGCGGTCATTGGATTTATCATGAGTGGCCTTTATACTCAACTGTCACAACACATTGGCGCTTTTGCTGTAGGTATCTTTCTCACATAGAAAATTGCCAGACAATTGCCAGATGCTAAGTGGTTCATCAGGTGGTGTACGGCATCTTCCTGAGCTTTGGCGAGTTTGGTGCGTGGGGTTGCGCAATCACTCTTCGTCTTCTGAACTCTTTTTTTGCCTAGGTCCCGGAAACTGCCTTGGTGTATTGGGTGCAAAGTCCGGACCTACTGCTGTGCGTGGCCAGTATTACGGTTTTGCAGCTGCTGTTGGAAAAATCGGCGCATTTATTGGAACTTGGGGTAGGTGCTATACAGTTGCCGTACGACGGGTGAACTGAGTGTTTTGTTTGTCCGTCCAGTGTTCCCTATCATAGTCACGGATTTTGGTGGCTCAAGTTCACCTAAAGGGAACACTGGCCCCTTCTGGGTCGGCAGCGGTCTTGCCATCCTAAGCGCAATCGTCGTTTACTTTTTTGTGACACCCTTGGACCACGATGGTATGAAGAAAGAGGATGCGAAGGTGCGCAATTGTCTCTCCCGTTGCCCGCAATGTTTACATACCTCGCAACGTAGTTCCGGGAATACCTCGAAGCTAACGGTTTCGATGTCTCACTTATGGGTCTTCCCGAAATTGAAACCGTGTCATATGCGGAAGGCCAAGAAATAAGTTCAGCGATCAAGGACACGGACTCAGAGACCAAAGTTTAGTTGCGCTGCAAGCAGACGATCCTGATTATAATTCACGTTTATGTTTGTGTACCACGATATTTTCTTACTCAGTTGTACAAATACCTGCTTAATCACTTAAGATGCAGTCTTCGGAGATCTACACTGATGACATGTACCTATTTCGTGAGGAAAACCATTCTTCTGAAGGTGGCTTACCTTGCATGGCCCTTGCTCTCCTTGTCTCGTTTGATTAATGTGGATATGATTGTTCAACGAATATATGACTAATCGCAGCCAGAGTTCCGGTGAGAGACCTAGTACACACTGAAAATTTAATAGTGCAGATGATGAAATTTCTGAAGTATTGTATATTCGACAGTAACTGGACGAATCACTTGGCAAAACCCACTGATACGATGTCATTATTGCTGCATCGGGTCACCAGTCGCTTTCCCTGCCTTAGCGAGTTCATTCCTAGCCAATGGGTGAGTTGGGAAAATGTACCATCAAGACGAGAGGAGAATTGCATACCGTAGCTGCACGCTGAACTCGTCCTCGATGTCGTCATCGTCCCAATTATCCTCCCAAAGTTTATCCCCCGCTGATTTTGCGACCCCGGGTGCAGCGCCCTTCAAGTGCGCCAAATCTGTGCTAGAATCATCCCAGTCTACCAGGCAACATCATCAGTAAACATTGATGACATAGGTGACAACTGAATTGATCACCTGCTACTTGGAACTCTTCGAACTCGTCGTCTTCTTCAAGGACCCCCAGGTGAGGTTGATTGTCATCCTCCTTAGTCTTCTCTGGTTGTTTGTCTGCGGGTTTTGATGAGGATGCGGATGAAGACATACTGGTAAGAGATAGACTCAGTGTTATTAAAGACGCGTTCACTTAGGCCGCGTCAGTGGCATGATCGTGAGAATGTGACTTCAGGACGTAGGGGCCAGAAATATTTGGGGCATGTATGTAGTATCACAAGCATTCTTTTACATCCGATTTCCTACCTAGCACTGTACATATATAAACTTGTAATTGCGACGCCTAGTGTACAATTTGATCGTGTGCCCCCTGATGCAAGAAAGAGTCCTTGGCGAACAAGCTGGCAGCAACTTGTGCATTTACTGTGTTTCCTGAGGGTGAGCAACCAACTTCGTTCCAGACACCTGTCCCAATCTCATTCTTTCCAACCCTCCAATAATACCTTCAAGCCCATTTGGGAGGACTTCATAATAGTTCGGCTACATCACGTATGAGACATAAATCCAAAAGTGGTCGCAGAACAAACCTGTATAGTACCGTCTGAAAGCCACTTTTCGACCCTAGCCCAGCAGTTGCGGCACAGCTCCTCATTTTGGGGAGTGTGTGGATTTCCGAAAGTCTGGATGGTTTTACGCCCCTTGCCTTCATGTTCCTCGACTGATGCAGGAAGGGTTAATACGAGGGTGCCATTGTTTGCAAGTAATTCCCATCCAACAGACTGTGTTTCTGGCAACGAGATGGCGTCATAAACAACTCTGATAGGACCTCCAGTGACTTGTCTGATGGCCGCCAGCAATTGTTTTCCGGAAAGGTTGCGATCAAAAAAATGGGTTGCGCCGTAGTCCCTGACAAGCTCTTCATTTCTCGGAGAGGCGGTAGCGATGATAGGATAAAATTGCGATAGACGAGCGAGTTGAATAGCTGCAATACTGTCATGATGCGGCCGAATAGGCGAATCTTACTACGCTTACCGTATGAACCCACAGAGGAAGAACCGCCAAGGATGACAATCGGTTTCTTCGATTCGTGACCGGCAGCGCTTTTCGTCCAAGGAGGGGCTATCCCGGCTCCATAATGTTTCCCATACAAGCCTACTAGCGCAGTATCCAATCCTAGAGGAACAGTAGCTGCGCTATCGAAGGATTCGTTTGAAGGAATCTGGGATGGGATGTAGTTGGCGATATGGTCAATAAGCCTTCTCATAACTAACCTTTGCGGTAAAGCTCGCAACGGTCAAGGTGTACTGCTGAAAGGCAGTGAAGTCGTTATTACGCTTGCCATGCGCCAATCTGTAAACTAGCGTTGAGCGTTGAGCCTATACAGACAGGTGCAAACCTAGTGAAGAACTGTCTAACACTCTATCGCCCTTGCGGAAATTCTGAACACCTTCCCCTAGTTCCTCTACGACACCAGCAATATCCATGCCAAGAATAGCAGGGTAATGGGTCACGACCGCCCCTGTGTCCTTGATCTTGTAGTCAATCGGGTTCAGAGCTGCAGATTGAACCTTAACCAGAAGCTGCCCAGCCCCGGGACTGGGGATCTCGCGAGAGCCAACTTCAAAGTCACCCCGCTTTTCGGGAAGAATAAGAGCTTTCTGTTGCGGAGACATGCCAAAGAGATGTGGAGGGTATACTAGAGCGGGTGGTGAAAGAAATGGATTAAAGTTTATGATGGCGGCGGTGTTAATAAGAAGCCTCATCTACTTCTTGTAGCACCAGCTGCTCTGCCCCTGCACAATAACGCCATATGCAATGTGCATGAGGTACGACACCTGAAATGGTAGGAGACTCGGTGGTGTAGGTGTACATGTGTTACTGGATGGGCAAAATAATGCGCACTATGATAAACTATACGAAAAACCAAACTGTAAGTTAACGGGATATCATGGATGATATCATATATCAGTATCAAGTGCTTCAAAACGAGATGGAGATGGAAGTAATCAACAAATAGTGTGAACAACAGGATCAGGCTGCGAGATGTGCGATGGACGTCCAACTATCTGTGCGATCCGTGGGTGTCTGCCACTGCGTCCCAGTTTGGGTGCGACTGTGTGCATTCCCAGCAGCCTTGTAGTGTAATTCAGTTATGAGTATATACCTTCAAAGAAGTGTAGTATCAGAGAGAGAAAGGACCCAAATCAACGTATGCCCACCTTGTACTCCTCAACTGTCTCTTTATATGCCAGAAGTCCAACGGGTCACGGCTGTCGGTCGTTGTCGTTCTGAACTTTCGTGGCAATGCAAAGGGCTCTGACATAGTTGCTGTCCAACAAAATGGTACAAATACAAAAGGTAGTGTTGGAGAATAAAAATTTCTTGAGGAGACTTTCGCCAGTTATCCGTCGTTCATGTTGAAATATAAGGAGGCACCGCTACCCCTTGACGAGAGCCAGTGTCAGCCTCAGAGATTCGGTTCATCACAAAGCGTCCAAGCCAGATGCCTATAGAAACAAGGTAAGCGTGCAAAGGTGTACAAAGGATCTGTGAAGTACAAGAGCGGTAGCATCGAACGGTGACGTTTTCTTCATAAGATTATGTCAGCAGATAAATGTGTGAAGTGAAGAAGCCTACGTTCCCCTGGAGGCTGGAAGCTACAGTAGGCTACAGTATCTCTGGTGTCGTGGTGTCCATCATGTAGCTAATAGAAGCCATATCTTTAATCTGTGCAATGATATCATTATTCGATACGATTCTCTTAAATTCTCTGAGTCCGTCGCCCTGCCGCCTTAATAAAAAATGCACCAAAAGGGTGTCCAAGGCAAACCATCAAATGTAAGAAATGTTGACGAGTGAGAATTCGAGTCAACCAGCTCGTTTCGTGCAGCAGGTTAATAGTGCAATGGAGATGACACGGACCTATAGTATTTCTACGGTACTTCTACGGTATTGACCTGGACGTCCATATGACAACGGAAATTATGTCTTTGACTTGTGCAATGATGTCATGGTTCGATGCGATCTTCTAGTATTCTCTGACGTGCTGTTGCGCTAGCAAAAATGGACCGAAAAGCTGTCCAAAGTGATCCATCAATTGCAAAGCTGGTGAACGAGGTTCCTCTTCTATAGAGTCGTCAATCAGCTGGAACCCGGGCTCGGTCCAATTTTATCATCTGCAGAGTCAGGCACCTCGAGGAGATACAGATCACATGGATGGACAAACAAGAACATTTATTGAATGGAATTTGACGGGATCAGCAGGTCGTGAGGTCCATCTGCCTTGATTTCATATGCGATGGCACTCTCCTGGGCTAGATCGCACCTCCATCTGACTTCTGTGACAAGAAATGAAATGTAAGTCTGCAAGTTTCCGAAGCGGGGAGTTCTCAGCTGTTCAACCTGGTCAAAAATTTCAACGCCAGATCTGCAGGCACGGTTTGTCGCAGCGAAGAGACCTGGGTGCGGATATGATCTTCAGACAAAGATAAAAGGGTGCGCGGAGGAACGGTATGAGAGGTAATACGGGCTGGAAGACAGTTATTAATATTGAACTCGGAAGATTGTCTGATCCAGTCGAAGACAATGATATCGCCCGACCGAACTAAGATCTCTTGCAGGAGCCGCCAGAGCGCGTTCTGCTTCTTCTTACAATAAATCGTAGAAGGGGGTAGTTCAATCCAAACTGCTCTTCGAATAGCATCTTTCGCTTCAGATGGACAGACATACTGCTGACGCAGATCTGGAGAATAAGATAGTCATTGGGTAATGTATAGAGTGTGACGCGAATTTATGGTGACCTGAATATGCGGAATGAACACTGCTCGTACTTTCAAATAAGTCCCGGCAAATCGGAACAAGTTGACAACCTTGCATTTACTGTGTTTCCTGAGGGTGAGCAACCAACTTCGTTCCAGACACCTGTCCCAATCTTAACCTTTCCAGCCCTCCAATAATACCTTCAAGCCCATTTGGGAGGACTTCATATTTGCTCGGCTACATAAATGTGAGACAAAAATCCAAAACGATGATCGCAGAACAAACCTGTATGGTACCGTCTGAAAACCACTTCTCAAGCCTAGCCCAAGAGTTGCGGCACAGCTCCTCATTTTCGGGGGCATGTGGGTTTCCGAATGCCTGAACAATCTTGCGTCCCTTGCCTTCATCTTCTTTGACTTTCGCATAAAGCGTTAATATGAGCGTGCCATTATCTGCAAGCAATTCCCATCCAACGGACTGTGTTTCTGGCAACGAGATGGCGTCATAAACAAGTTTGATAGGGTCGTCAGTAACTTCGCTGATGGCCGCCAGTAATTGTTTTCCAGAAAGGCTGCGATCAAAGAAATGTGTTGCGCCGTAGCCCTTGACAAGCTCTTCATTGCTTGCAGAGGCTGTAGTGATGATAGGATAGAATCCGGACAGACGAGCGAGTTGGATAGCTGCAATACTGTCAGGATGCAATTAAAGAAGAATTGAGTCTCAATTCGCTTACCGTATGAACCCAGAGGAAGAACCACCGAGGATGACAATTGGTTTCTTTGATTCATGACCACTGTCATTTTCCGTCCAAGGAGGGGTTACACCGGCACCATAATGTTTTCCATACAAGCCCACCAGCGCAGTATCTAAACCCACAGGAATAGTGGCTGCGCTATCGAAGGACTCGCTTGCGGGAATCTGGAATGAAATGTAGTTGACGATGTGATCAACAGACGTTCTCATAACTTACATTTGCTGTAAAGCTCGTAGCGGTCAAAGTATACTGCTGAAATGCAGTAAAGTCATTGGTGAACTTGCCATGCGCCACTCTATAAACCACGGTTGAGCCTATGCAGACACGGGCAAAGAATTGTCTGACACTCTATCGCCTTTGCGGAAGTTCTCGACACCTTCCCCTAGTTCCTCGACAGTCCCGGCAATATCCGTTCCCAGGACGGCAGGGTATTGGATCGCAACCACCTCTGTGTCCTGGATCTTGTAGTCAACTGGGTTCAGAGCTGCAGATTGAATCTTGATCAGGAGCTGCCCGACCCCAGGATTGGGGATGCTGCGGGAGCTAAGCTCAAAGTTGCCCTGCTTTTGGGGAAGAACAGGGCTTTCTGTTGCAGAGACATGGGAAATAGATGTGGAGAGTAGAATGCTTGTAGGCCTTCCAACCTTGCTATCTATATAATAAATTGAAACTTGATGAGCAAGAAAACGATTATTCATGCAGACGGGCATTTGAAATGGTGAATGTTGGTAACGATGACGCTTAATAACAAGCTCCAGAGACTGCGCCCTGTACGATAACGCCATATGCACAGGTAATGTGCATGAGATGTGACGCCAGAAAACGTAGGAGTCTCGCTGACATAGATGCACCATACTACGGTCTCTTCGAGGACGAGTAGTACGCTGGAATCCCACTCCAGTCAGTCACTGGGCAACAGTGACCCGGGAGTCGAAGAGGCATGTAGCACACGGTTGAATAAAATAAAGATAGTACGCACAAGCGGCCCAATTTCAAAGTTCATCATCATATATTGTACAGTCCATATTGCAAATCTATGAAGTTCGTCTGCCCAGTCTCGGAGCTCACCGCCAGCAAACACTCGAGAGATCGATTTCGTCCAATTTTGTCAA